GAGGTCCTGCGATCACTCTCTGAATGTCCTCGCTGCTCTCCCTCTCTCTCTCTCCCGCTGCTTTGCAAGCTGACAGCTATGGCGCCCAGCGCCATCAACTACTCTCTCGACACTGTTAACGATCCAATGTTTTTGACCACACAGCAGCACATCCGTATCTGCCAGAATTGGACCGGAAGTGGACACGTGGTGACTCCCTCCCTACCAACTTCTTGGACCCTCTACTGTTCCTACTGGTCTTATCCTATCAGATCTCTGTTTTGTTCTGTACAGTACCTACTGGAAAGGTCTACTTTGGCCCTAAGGTAAGACAGAAAATGGGGCACAGTACCGGGGCCGTACTGTGGCAGCGCATGAATCCTTTTATTAATACTTCATGCTAGTTTTTACATTTTATTACATTAACAGATGATTATCTAGTACTGCGTGGATTGAGCCCTCGCATTGCCCTCCTCGGGCACACAGACGTTCTGGCCTCAGGTCCCCTGCAAGCCTCCTTCCCGGCCTAAGTGAAGGCCGGCCTGCATATCCACGTGACACCTATTTTCACCATTTTTCGAATGTAGGGTACCAGACAGTTGCAACACGCCTGCACGCCAGTTGGTTACAGAGCAACGTGAGCCTTCCTGGCTCGATCCAGAAGCAGCAGCTGCGTCGTACTGTTGAGCCCAGGGCTCATTCAGTTGAGGCTCTGGGCACAGGCCAACAAGTCATGTAGCGGCCACGGACCAATGAGAAAGCAGTTCAAGCGTCACACACATGCCACGAGCAAATGAGATCGCGTCGAAGTTGGAGCCTCGTGGGCTACCTGGATGTGCCTAACTGCACGAGACCCGGGCCAGTATCTGAAACTGCGCCTGGACGCCGACGCTTTGGGCCAACCTGAAGCTAATGGGCCCCTACACGCCAGAACCAGTCCAGCCAGCGGCCAGAGAGCGCCGGCATTGACATTTGAGTTCATTGTATTGCTCTTATTTGGATGGTATCTTGGTTCATTGTGCTCTCTGCTTGGTACATGACTATCTGGACTGCAGTGTGGTGCAATTTGGATTTCGGTCTATCGCTCTTGCTCATATTCCTTGCAATTTGGTATCAGAGCTGGTTCGATATCGCCGATCATCTGCGCTGGCGACTTTGTTACTTGGTGTGCTGACGAAGCTTCTCCACAGTGCTGGCTTGTGTGGCCACTCCCGGGTTGTGGGGAGTGTGGCTGGAAGGCTGTGGCAACAGCGTGGGAGCTGTGGCGACAGCGGATGTATGTGGAATGATGAGAGCATGCTGTCATTGCATTTTGGCTGAGGTAGCACTGTGTTGCATCGTGTGTGGTACCGAGGGTTCCCTTACCTTATCTTCCCATCTCAATCTCTTCTTACCGTGAGGAAGAGAGTTTGACTTGAGTGTCCTCTTCTGGTTCAGGAGTGGCGATCGCTCTACTGTGAGAGTCGACATTCTTCCTGGTGGCGCATCTGGCAAGAGAGGGCGGTGCCTCTGAAGGGCCGTGGACGAAGCACGGGTTGCGGTCACCATGCCAACCCACGGGAGTAGAGCACGCAGGCTTTGCTGCATTGTCCTGTGAGCTCCTGCTGCGCTGTAGAGGGAGGTGGGATCAGTCAGCCTGATGGGGTCAACGTGTACCGGGCTGTCGTTAAAGATACTTTGGCGGGGAAACTGACACGCACCATATGCGAGGATAAAAATAGTACGGGACAGGCTTGCTTACTTTGCATTACCTGGGCACAGGGGCGGGCCGATGTGCACACCATAGACACCGCTGCTCGATGATGCAAACAGGAATGTTGGATACAGGGAGGGAAGGTTCCAATTGGCTCAAATACAAACATTATTATTTCCATTTCTGCATACATCTGCGCAAGTGATTTATTTTGATTGGTTGAGGTGTGACAGACAGCATTAGAATAGAATTGTAGTAGTCTACCATTTCCAGTTCTGTTTGGTGCTGCTGTTCGAGAACTGATTGAAGTAGGATTAGATCATTTGCACAGTCTGTGTATATTCTGTTGACACCACTTGATCGGTAGCCTGGGTGAGTTGCTGAATATTTATTTATTTTTATTTTATTATTACTATTGGGATGAAGCACGCTTTATTGATGACATTCGTCAACATGATCCCCAAGCTGCTCAGCGATACACCTTCACTTAC